CACACACTAGCGTACCCAGCCACGCGTCCTCCCCATCATCCCCAACTTCCTGTCCCCTTGTCTTCCCCCGCCAATCTCCATTCCCCTGTCCCTCGTCCCTACTATCCCCAGCTCCACCGTCCCCTCATTCTCCCCACCATTACTTCCTCCCCTGTCCCTCGTCCTCCCGACCATCCCCCACTCCCGTCCCCTCGTCCTCCCCACATTCCCCACTCCCTTGTCCCATGCTTTCCCCAAATGATTGATGTTCCATCAGAAAATGGGAACATCAAATGATCTGATGTCCCATCACTGAAAATATAGGAAAAACAATTAAAAAATGAAATGAAAAACAATGAAAAATAAAAAAATAAACAATACTCGCGAAATTAACGGTATGGTAAAAAACAAATCTCAATTCCAATGCAATGTCATACAAATCATTTCAATATAAATGAAAACAATTCGAAACCTATGAAAATTCAATTTATCAATGATATCGGAAACATTGAAATGGAATCGAAACATATTTAGTATAGCGTGAGTTGCTTTTACGTGCAACAGATGGTGCTGTTTGTTAAAAAAAATGTTTTTACCTGTCATAGGTGTGGCATCTATACTTATAATTATAATGGTATGGTAAACAACACAGCTCAATGCCAACACAATGTCACACAATATTCTTCAATAAAAATTAAAATAAATCGAAATCTATGAAAATTAAATATATTAATACATTCAGAAACATTGAAATGGAATTGGTAACATATTTAGTTTAGCTTGTGTGTTCCTATAATGTGCAATAGATTAATTAATGGTTGATTAATGTCATTGAATGTCGTTGTTATTGAAAAAAACATGTTTTTACCTGTCACAGGTGTGGCATCTATATAGTAGGTACATAAAAACACGTGAATATTCGAATGGAACGTTCTGTCACAATTTTTAAGCAATCGGTGAATAAATTTGGGAGATTACAGCATGTGTTGCTCTTACGTCCAACAGATGACACTGTTTATTAAAAAAAAACATGTTTTTTCTTGTCACAGGTAAGGCATGTATATACTAGTTGTATAAAAACACGCGCCTATTCAAATGCAACATCTTGTCAAAATTTCAAAGCAATCGGTAAAGAGGTTTCAGAGATTCCTCTCACATGAAAAACACAGTTTTCTAAAAAAAAACATTTTTTTTTCCGTCACAGACGTGATATCAATATTGTATATATATATATATATATATATATATATATATATATATATATATATATATATATATATATATATATATATATATATAATATATATATATATATATATATAAAACCCGCTCGGATGTGAATGGAACATTGTGTAAACATTTCAAAGCAATTGTTGAAGAACTTTCGGAGATTAGCGATTTGAACAAACGAACATTTTAATTTTATCTATATAGATTGTGTGTTGCTCTTACGTGCAACAGATGGCACTGTTTCCTAAAAAAAAAAGAAGAATGTATTTACTGTCTTACTTTTCGGTCATATTTAATTAATATATATATATATAATATATATATATATATATATATATATATATATATATATATATATATATAATATATATATATATAGATATATATATATACAGTGCAGTACTGTGCTCAGACCAATCTGTCATTTCTTCGTTCCGGAAATATTTCTGTCACAATGAAATTCTGTAGAAGGAAAACAGAGTACTGACGTGTCTTCTATGGGCAGGATAGGTATCTATAGCCTTTAAGAAGCGAACTAATGCAGCAGATAACTTTATCAAGGCAAAGATACATATAGACCCATTATTGCCGAGGGAGGAGAAGTGGTAGAAGAAAAAGCTGCAACTTTGCACAAGGAGGCTAATGTTTCTTAAGAGAAGAGCAAGCAGTAACATTACACATGCTAATATAGTATCTATACAAATCAATTTGCTCTTGTAGTTATCATCAACATACATCGACTTATGACAAGTCGTTTGTTCAAGTTCATGCAGTTTCGGGTCTTTTTCATGACTATCGATCTACTTTTAATTTACCTTAGAGATCATGATGGACAGTAAATCTCGTTTTCGAACAGTACCGGGCCCCGTGGAGCTGGTGAAGGCGCTGGCGGTGGACAGCCAGAGCGTGCTGGTGGCGTGGCGGCCGCCCAAGGCTCCCAACGGAGTGATCACCAAGTACACAGTTCACCTGGACCAGCCCGACCTGCAGGTAACCCTTTTCTCTCCACCTTCACCCGTGGGCCGTGGCCGTCTTTGCCTCCGGGAGTCTACGGCATTGTTGTTGTTGTTTAAGATTCACTACTTGGAACAAAAAGTTCCAAGTAGCACGGCTATGGTGAGCCCGTAGTGTAGTCTACGGCAGCTCTGTAAATGCTAGGGCCTTGCCAGATTAGATAGAATTTGCACCAGTTTTTCAAATGTCCCAGGTTTATCATAGCATAACTATGTAAAATGTGGTTGTTTGATGTCTATCATAGCATTACTATATGATATATGGTTGTCTCAGGTCTATCATAGAATTACTATGATATAGTTGTCCAACTATTATATAGTTGTCCCAGGTATAGCATAAACTGCTCTAACATGCAACATATATAATCTTTCAATAAATTGATTGGCGCTATTAATTATACATATTGTGCGACGTGTAATTTGATTAATTAAACGGTAACTCCTACAAAGCAAGTTTTAGATCAAAGTTGATAGCAGACAAAAAATCTTGAATATAAAAACCGCATTGATGTTCAGTGAAAACCTTCCCCCATCATTGATGTTCAGTGAAAACCTTCCCCCATGTTCAATTGAGCTTGTTGAGGCTGTATTTTGTATATGTGGTTTTCAGGGTTGTAAGGGTTATTAGGCTATTATGTTAATGTGTTGTGTGTTAACTACAGTGATGTACGTAACACAAGTGATGTAACACAAGGATATGTGCTGGCAGCAAGCCAGCACATATCCTGGCTTGCTGCCCAAAGGATGGAGAGAGGTTCGTAGGTTCCCTAAGGGGCACCTCAGACCCTCTTTGTACCCTTCTTGCACTTGCACTACTGCCCACGGCCCATTGATTGCCAGGCGGGTGTGTTGCAGCTGGGGGCGGCGACGTCGTGGGCGGTGCCGGGGTCCCGCAGCTCGTCGTGGGAGGGCGGCGGTGGTGTGGGTGGCGGCGAGGGCAGTGGTCGCTCCTGGATGGTGTCGGGCTCTGAGCGGCAGTACCTGGTGGCCGGGCTGGCGCCGACCACCACCTTCGGGTTCACGGTGAGGGCGTCGACGCTGGTGGGTGAAGGGCCACCCGGCACCCGGGTCACCCAGCGTCCCAGGCCCGACGCCCCGGCCTCTATCGCCTCCTTCTCCGACAAGACGGTGAGGCGGCCTTCTGTTAATTATGACTAAACTCAAATTCATTTATTAATTCTTACTAGTTATTGATTATTATTTTATTAAGTCATTATTTAATTATTAATAAAGTCATTAATTATTTCATTTATATTAAAGTCATCGAATATTTCAATATGATTAAAGTCAATTATTATTTACATTTCATTAAAGTCGTTGATTATTTAATTTGTGTCATTATTTAATTTTGTCATTTACTAGAATAATTAAACAGCATACACTAAATATAGGTGAGAGGATTTACCGTAATAATTGATGGTAATTATCAGTAGATAGCACAAGGCCAATATGACTATATGTTTACCTTTGTCAGTGATGACAAGAGGGGAGTCATTGTGACACTGTCAGTGATGACAAGAGGGGAGTCATTGTGACACTGTCAGTGATGACAAGAGGGGAGTCATTGTGACACTGTCAGTGATGACAAGAGGGGAGTCATTGTGACACTGTCAGTGATGACAAGAGGGGAGTCATTGTGACACTGTCAGTGATGACAAGAGGGGAGTCATTGTGACACTGTCAGTGATGACAAGAGGGGTCATTGTGACACTGTCAGTGATGACAAGAGGGGAGTCATTGTGACACTGTCAGTGATGACAAGAGGGGAGTCATTGTGACACTGTCAGTGATGACAAGAGGGGAGTCATTGTGACACGAGGATTGTTGCTCTCTAGATCGCCGTGTGGGGGGAGGAGCTACGCCTGGCCTGTCGTGTTGTGGGCAACCCCACACCCACACGCCTCTGGACCTTCAAGTAAGTCTCTGCCCCACACCTCTCCACACTTACTTCTGTGTTAGAAGTTATTACACATGTTGCAGCAATTTACACACACTCACTCACTCACACACACACACACACACACACACACACACACACACACACACACACACACACACACACACACACACACACACACACACACACACACAAGACAAGACACACACAAGACAAGACACACACACATTACCTGGACAAGCTGCAGGAATGGTCGAACAAATGGCTGTTAAAGTTTAACCCAAGCAAATGTAATGTAATGAAGATAGGGGTAGGAAGCAGGAGACCAGATACAAGGTATCATTTGGGAGATGAAATACTTCAAGAGTCAGAGAGAGAGAAAGACCAGCGGGTTGATATCACGCCAGACCTGTCCCCTGAAGCTCATATCAAGAGGATAATATCAGCAGCATATGCCAGGTTGGCTAACATAAGAACGGCCTTTAGAAACTTGTGTAAGGAATCTTTCAGAACATTATATACCACATATGTCAGACCAATCCTGGTGTATGCGGCACCAGCATGGAGTCCATATCTAGTCAAGCATAAGACTAAAATGGAAAAGGTTCAAAGGTTTGCCACCAGACTAGTACCCGAGCTGAGAGGTATGAGCTACGAGGAGAGACTACGGGAATTAAACCTCACTTCGTTGGAAGACAGAAGAGTTAGGGGGGACATGATCACCACATTCAAGATCCTCAAGGGAATCGACAGGGTTGATAAAGACAGGCTGTTTAACACAAGGGGCACACGCACAGGGACACAGGTTCTTGACAAAAATTTGTCAAGAACTTTTTTAGTGTCAGAGTGGTTGACAAATGGAATGCATTAGGAAGTGATGTGGTGGAGGCTGACTCCATACACAGTTTCAAGTGTAGATATGATAGAGCCCAATAGGCTCAGGAACCTGTACACCTGTTGATTGACAGTTGAGAGGCGGGACCAAAGAGCCAGAGCTCAACCCCCGCAAGCACAACTAGGTGAGTAACTAGGTGAGTACACACACACACACACACACACACACACACACACACACACACACACACACACACACACACACACACACACACACACACACACACACACACACACACAAAGAGCTCCACCTAAACAATAAAATAACAGGAAGGAATGAGAGAAGCTAACAGATTAGTACCAGAGTCAAAGGTGTTAAACGACGCTCGACAAATTAAAAAAAAAACTGCATGACCTGGCATTTACACTGGATCAGACAAGTGGAAAGGATGACATGACAGCGACATGCAAGATCTTCAGGTTGATTAGTTAGATACACGATGTGGAAGTGTGTACGTTAAGTAACTCACAGACGGAAAGGACGTGGATGTAAACTAGAGATCTAGCAGGGGGTGTAGGGATACAGGGTATCCCTCCATTAGTGGGCGCAGCAAGACAAGATGGGGAGGGAGGCGATGATTGACACAAACGTCTGCCAGAAATTAGAGAGTAGATAATACGACAAGACAAACTAGGAAAGGGAATGATTGCATTAGACGACATTTAACTGAAAAGGCGTTGCTCAGAAGCTGAAGCTCGAGCCGCAGGCACAATAAAATTGTTACACTTAACTATTTTACCAACCTAAGTACACACTAGGTGAGTACTTAGCTAAATAGACAAGCATATGACACTAGAAACACCCAGAGGTCACCCAATACCAAGTTTCCCCCTGGCCAGCCAGTAACCCCTGGCCAGCCAGTAACCCCTGGCCAGCCAGTAACCCCTGGCCAGCCAGTAACCCCTGGCCAGCCAGTAACCCCTGGCCAGCCAGTAACCCCTGGCCAGCCAGTAACCCCTGGCCAGCCAGTAACCCCTGGCCAGCCAGTAACCCCTGGCCAGCCCCCTGGCCAGCCAGTAACCCCTGGCCAGCCAGTAACCCCTGGCCAAGCCAGTAACCCCTGGCCAGCCAGTAACCCCAGGCCAGCCAGTAACCCCTGGCCAGCCAGTAACCCCTGGCCAGCCAGTAACCCCTGGCCAGCCAGTAACCCCTGGCCAGCCAGTAACCCCTGGCCAGCCAGTAACCCCTGGCCAGCCAGTAACCCCTGGCCAGCCAGTAACCCCTGGCCAGCCAGTAACCCCTGGCCAGCCAGTAACCCCTGGCCAGCCAGTAACCCCTGGCCAGCCAGTAACCCCTGGCCAGCCAGTAACCCCAGGCCAGCCAGTAACCCCTGGCCAGCCAGTAACCCCTGGCCAGCCAGTAACCCCTGGCCAGCCAGTAACCCCTGGCCAGCCAGTAACCCCAGGCCAGCCAGTAACCCCAGGCCAGCCAGTAACCCCTGGCCAGCCAGTAACCCCTGGCCAGCCAGTAACCCCTGGCCAGCCAGTAACCCCAGGCCAGCCAGTAACCCCTGGCCAGCCAGTAACCCCTGGCCAGCCAGTAACCCCTGGCCAGCCAGTAACCCCTGGCCAGCCAGTAACCCCTGGCCAGCCAGTAACCCCAGGCCAGCCAGTAACCCCTGGCCAGCCAGTAACCCCAGGCCAGCCAGTAACCCCAGGCCAGCCACTAACCCCAGGTTCCTTCCTGCCCCCGACAGCGGGAAGCCCCTGGGGGGTAGCCAGACGCGGGTGAAGGAGTACCCGGACGGCAGCGTGCTGGTGACGGACGTCAAGGCTCAGGATGCCGGCAACTACACCTGCACCACCACCAACCTCCACGGCTCTGATTCCATCACCTACGCCGTCACCGTCCAAGGTAGGGAGCGCTCCTCCACTATACTGCTATGAGTACACGATGAGTCGCAATAACTCAAGAAATGATGAGCAAACGACACAACAGAAGAAGGAAAAGTGACGACGATTCGGTCCGTCGTCACTTTTCCAAACCATCCGTCGTCGGTTTATAGCATTATCAACTCCTGGAGGACTTGATAATGGTCCAAGACGGATCGAAACGTCGTCGCTTCTCCATCTTCTGATGTGTAGTTGGTCATCATACTGCTATAAGCTAGGATGCATATATAGTCAACATTATATACGACAAACGATATACTGAAAGAAGAGAAATGTATACAAGACTAACATAACCTCACAGCATTTAATATTCCATTGCTATATCCTCCAAGAAAAAAGCATGCTATACTACACAGGCTTAATGTCAAAGCTTAAATTATTTGCCTGAGGCCTTAAAAATACGAGAATGTCACAGTAGATTGTGGAGTGTTAGCAGGTACACCGTAGTGGGGCTCCAGAGATGGTTTAAAAGACTGTTGAGAACCAGTTAAGTCCTTCCGAGACTTTTCATTGTGAAGCAGTCTCCGTGGTGTAGTGGTAAGACACTCGCCTGGCGTTCCGCGAGCGCTATGTCATGGGTTCGTATCCTGGCCGGGGAGGATTTACTGGGCGCAAATCCTTAACTGTAGCCTCTGTTTAACGCAACAGTAAAATGTGTACTTGGATGAAAAAACGATTCTTCGCGGCGGGGATCGTATTCCAGGGACCATAGGATTAAGGACTTGCCCGAAACGCTACGCGTACTAGTGGCTGTACAAGAATGTAACAACTCTTGTATATATCTCAAAAAAAAAAAAAAAAAAAAAAAAAAACATCCTGGGCGCTTGGCTAGTGTCTTCTAATTTTCAGGCCCCGAGATCGAATCTCCAGTAAAAGAAATTACATTATCCAAGGTTTTGAGGATTGCATCTTATTTACATATATATGTATATATATATATATATATATATATATATATATATATATATATATATATATATATATATATATATATATATATATTTAACCCAAACTTGTGTATTTGGTAAATTTATGTAAGGAATTTACACTAAGTTTTTCGACTTGAGATGTAAGTCTAATCCTAACCGCACACTCTCAGTCCTTGACAAAGCACGTAGAAAAGTGCGAAAAGTGTAAATTCCTAACATTACTCATTCTTTTGGTAGCCGCCTTCCATTGCCAGACATTAATCACTAACGCATGTGAACGATCTATATAATGCCTACCACCGCAAAATCCGCACGAACTGCGTTTTAAAACCCTGATGGCTTTGTTGCGTCGTCGCTTTTGCATACACAGTGTTCAGGCTGACTGCAGATTGGAATGGATAGGTTAAGTGTACTCTACAACAGATTGGTTAAGTGTATCGTACTACAAATTGGTTAAGTGTTATCTTCAATAGATAGGTTTGGTATACCGTACAAAGGATAAGCTAAGTGTATCTCACAGCAGTTAGGTTAAGTTTACTGTAAAAAAAAAAAAAAAATATCTGATAAGTGTATTTTACGGTGGATATTTTCAGTTCTGGGAAAATAGATAGGTTAAGTGTACCCTACAATCAATACATCAAGTGTACTATAGAAATGATAGCTTAAGTTTACTGTTCAGTGAATAGGTTAATTTTATTGTACAGTGAAAATGATTAAGTGTACTGTATAGTGAATAGGTTATGTGTATTGTACAGTGGATAGGTTAAGTGTACTGTACGATTAATAGGTTAAGTGCATTATAGAAAAGATAGATCAAGTGTACTGTACAATAGATAGGTTAAGTGAAGTATACATTGTATAGGTTAATTGTACTATAGAATACATAGGTTCAACATGCAGTGGTCTATAATCACAGTAGAAATCATGGTGTTAATCTTAGTGAAATATTAGCATCACTTTTCTATTTTCTATTAAATATCAGTTCTTTTCTATTTGTTATTATTAGAAGTAGAACATCGTGATTATATTTTTATCATTAACGCCACTGTTTTCTTAAGTGCTTTAATTCTGATAAAGATGCATCTTGGTGCTAAATAATGGAATATTGTGAGCTGTGTTTCTGATAAAGTGTTCCTGTCTTGACCATTTAGCTAAGCATCACCTGAGGTGTGTCTCACAGCTCAGGTTGATCTTGGGTGACCCCGGGTGACCTAGGGTAAACGTGATCGATCTAGGAGGATTTCGGGTGACCCGAGGTGAACCAGTTGAACCGTGTTAACTTGTGGTCAAGCGGTATTGATCCGGATTTGATTCCGGTTGCCTTTGGGTGAATCCAGTCAATCTGAGATGATCTCGAGTGACCTTCGATGACCTAGGCTGACCTGGGAATGACCATGGGTTGGCCTAGGTAATATGGGTAAGCTTTTAGTTAACCTGAAGTTTCCTGGGACACCACTGGTTGACCCGGAGTGACCTGGACTGTGTCAGCTGATGCCTCTCTCCCTCTCTCTCTTGCATGCAGCCTCCAGGGATCAGGGAGGTAAGTTCTCCAATCTCCTGTTCCGTATTTTCATCCTCGCCGAGGCGTGTGCATTTCGGAAGTCCTGACAGCATCCTGTGCCTCCCATATTAAAACCACTCTAGTATTGAGAGCTTTATAACACCAAACACCTTTTAGGTCATGAGCTTGTGATACAATCAACGACAAGAATTCTTGTTTTCAGTGCATGATGCCATAAATTAATTGTAATACGAATCAAACTCATTAATATATATATATATGTTTAATCTATGCTTGAAACAATCCTATGCAGATGTTTTTTAATTTTATAAATATTTAATTACAATTTTATGTATGTTCATATTGATAACACAAACCAGACAGGATTTTATTTGAAATTTAAACATTATAATAATTAAATTCGATTTCTTTTCTTCAAATTTATAGCTTATAATGGAGGTCCTTAATTAATACAAATCCAATACAGTTTAAGGTTGCTTGGCAGTAATACTGTTTCTTCAAGAGCAAGTAATTCAGTGTCACAACATTACTCACAGTGTCATAACCTTACTCAGGGTGGCATGACATTCACTACAGTGTCACAATCAGTCTCTCTAGTACAGTGTCATTATACCAGTGCTTTTCTTACAGTGCCTCCATCACCTCCTCTTGTGTACGTCTCTGACGTCACCTCCACCACTCTCACAGTCAGGTGGAGGACTACCAACTCTGGCGGAGCGCCTATACTGGGTGAGTAGTGCTCTGTGTGGGTGTGGCCTTGTGTGAGGCACTAGTGTGGCCTTGTGTGAGGCACTAGTGTGGCCTTGTGTGAGGCGTTAGTGTGGCCTTGTGTGAGGCGCTAGTGTGGCCTTGTGTGAGACGTTAGTGTGGCCTTGTGTGAGGCGTTAGTGTGGCCTTGTGTGAGGCGTTAGTGTGGCCTTGTGTGAGGCGCTAGTGTGGCCTTGTGTGAGACGTTAGTGTGGCCTTGTGGGAGGCGCTAGTGTGGCCTTGTGTGAGGCGCTAGTGTGGCCTTGTGTGAGGCGCTAGTGTGGCCTTGTGTGAGGCGCTAGTGTGGCCTTGTGTGAGGCGCTAGTGTGGCCTTGTGTGAGACGTTAGTGTGGCCTTGTGTGAGGCGCTAGTGTGGCCTTGAGTGAGGCACTAGTGTGGCCTTGTGTGAGGCGCTAGTGTGGCCTTGTGTGAGGCGCTAGTGTGGCCTTGTGTGAGGCGCTAGTGTGGCCTTCAGTAAGACGCTACTGCAGCCTTCAGTAATGAATGTGTCTGGACTTGAGTATCGAGTTGGAATCAATATATTAGTGTAAATACTGTACTGTTTTGCCGTGTACTTAATAAAACCTACATTCAGAAAAGCCTTGAACACATTCCGATTCTTTGTAACGTCTCTCTGGTTTCTGAACTACTGTCAGGTTATCTTGAGGTTATCTTGAGATGATTTCGGGGCTTTAGTGTCCCCGCGGCCCGGTCGTCGACCAGGCCTCCACCCCCAGGAAGCAGCCCGTGACAGGTGACTAACTCACAGGTACCTATTTACTGCTAGGTAACAGGGGCATTCAGGGTGAAAGAAACTTTGCCCATTTGTTTCTGCCTCGTGCGGGAATCGAACCCGCGCCACAGAATTACGAGTCCTGCGCGCTATCCACCAGGCTACGAGGCCCCCCTGTCATTGAAACTTCCCGTAGATTTACTGCTCAATCGTATGTCAAAATGCAATTAGGAACTCACAAAAGAACTCTTTAGCCTCTGAATATGTGTTTACCAAGGTGTTTGTGCTGGCGCCTGTGTCACCCTTCACGCCATTGGTCAACCTGCCCTCAGGTCAGACTCGTTAAAGCTGCGGCCGTACCCCCAAGATGCATTCATCAATTTTTACGTATTGGGCTTATTGCTCGTCCAGCCGCCAAATCCTTTGCTTATGCGGCTGTCCGGAGTAAAGCTTGATGCTCGCTTGGGACAGTGCCGGAGTGTGATGCTCTGTCCTCTGTCCTTTTCTAGCCTTGTGCTCCTGCTGCCGTCCTCTCCAATTCTGCTGGGCATCTTTTCCTTTTCCTTCTGTTTCGTTTTTCTCCCCCCTCTTCTCCTATCTGCTTGCCGTTTCCTGCCGACCTTTTGCTCGTTCTGGTTCTTCCCTTGGACTTCTTCTACTTTGACGCCCGGGTGCTTGAGGAGGCATACTCTTGCACCCGTAGAACTGCAGTACCCGACGTCGAGAGCGAGGGGAACCTTTTATTGTCAATCCCCACTTCGTCACTGAACCCGATCTCGACGGACTGTCGGTTTCTTAAGGTGGCGTTTGTGGGGCGTATACTCACGACGCACCCCTAGGAGGCCCCGACAAGATCGGCGATAGCTTCTTGTTGGGTGTCCTGCCTCTAATTGTGGCTCCATGGTGGGTGTGGGGGCACATTCGTGAGTGAATTCGTAATTTCGTCAAGATGATAACCCCTGTTTCGGCTGCTTCTGGCTTACCTTTTCAGGCTCGTGGGGTGGGCGACCAAGCCCCCGAGTCGGTCCGTATTGGAAGACCGGGCTCTGTAGCCTCCGCTGCATTGGGCCCCGACCTTGCTCCTCCTTTGGCCTCTCTGACTCCTTCCCCTGGCTCCCCTCCCTCCTCTGTGGTTGGGTCGAGCCCCAAGCCCCCAGTGGTGACTACCTCGTCCCCTGGCGCGGCTCCTTCTCTAGTTGTTACTACTGCGCCTTTTAACCCCTCTCTCTCTGGGGGTTCTCACCGCCGTTCTCGTCACGGCCGCCCTCGCTCGATTCCTTCCAGTTCTGCTACCTATCAAGCCTTGTTTGGTCCCGCTTCGTGGGCCAAATATTTTGATCTCCTCCCTCTTGATTCTGCGCCTCCTGACGATTTCTCCCTTCATCGACATCTCGTTGATTCCGTGGATGCCTCCATTACTTTTAACCCCACTCGTCTCGGTACGCGTGTCGTTGCTGCTCCTTCTCAGGATGCTGCTTCCCGCTTGGCTGCCTTATCCTGCCTTGGCGAGACCCCCGTTCGGGTCTCGAAGAACGTCCAGTTGAATGCCAGTGTTGGCACTATTTTGCTCCCGCCCCATGTTGCGACCGGTGTTCGGGACCTACGCGACTGCCACGACGATATTCGACATATCCTCGCTGCCCAGGGCCATTCTATTCTCCAGGTGGACACGTTTACTCGTCCCCCTCGTGGTAGTCGCCGTCAACCCCTCCGGGTTGTGAAGATTACCTTTGATGGTAGGACCCTTCCACCCTCTGTCATTCTTGCTGGTGCCAGGTGCTCTGTCCAGGAGTACATTCCTTCTCCTCGGCTCTGCAACAAGTGCTGGAGGTTTGGGCATGGTGCCCTCCGCTGCTCCGGGACTGTCTCTCTCTGTCCTTTGTGTGGTGGCGAAGGTCACTCTAAGTCGGAGTGCGCTTCTCCCCAGGCTCGTTGCCTCAACTGCGGTGAGGCCCATCCTACCTTCTCCCGTGCGTGTGTCCATTACAAGCTTGAGGCAGCCGTCCTCAACTTGAAGCACCGGGAGCGTTTATCTTTTCCTGAGGCGAGGCGCCAGGTTCGCCGGCTCCCGCCTTATGCTAATATCTCTTATGCTCGCGTGTTGCGCTCTTCCTCTCCTCGTCCTTCCCGCCTTCCTCAGACTCACAACCGTTTCCAGGCCTTGGACCCTGATGCGCCCACTGCCCCCTCCTCTGTCCCTTTGGGTTCTCTCCCGAAGGATCCTCCTCCTGGTCCTCTGTCTGGGGTTCCCCTTCCTTCTACCCGGTCTGTCGTGTCTTCTGTGTCTCCTTCCTCGTCCCCCTCCGATCCTCCTTCCCATCCTCTTCCTCCATCTATCGGCTCTCCCCGCCGCCTGTCGGTGCGGGCGGATGTCCATCGCTCTCCTAACGGCCGTCGTGTGTGCTCTCGTTCGGCTTCTCCTGTTGAGACACTGGAATCCGTTGCCCGGTACGTAGTTGCTGGGACACCGGTCTCTTTAAGTCAGAAGCGTAAGCCTGGCTCCTCTCCTTCCTCTTCCCCGGCGGGTAAGAAGGCTTCGCTTTCTTCCTCAGCTCCTCCTTCTGGCTCTGTTGCTCCTTCCACTCCCGTTTCAGTGCTTGCGCCCCCTGTTCCTGCTATGGAGGTTTCTTTGGCCCCTGCTTCCCTTTCGGTTGCTGCTCTTGCTGGGGTGCGCTCCTCTCTTTCTACTCCCCCTCTTCCTGCTGCTGTCCTTGACTGCTCCTCTCCGTTGTCTCCTCCTCCTCCTCCTCCTCCTCCTCCTCCTCCTCCTCCGGACCCTGCCCGCCCACCTCTGATCTGTTCTCCCGTTTCCTTCCCTCCGTCTTTGCTCAGTTTACCCATGCCCCCTAACCCTGACTTTGCTGACCCTGATCCCGACCCTGATATTCTTTAACGTGCTCTGTTGGTCTTTCGCCTTTGTTTCTTCCTTGTTCTCTGTTTTTGTCCTTTCTCTTCTCGTCGTTGTCCATTCTTCAATGGAACGTTCGAGGTTATTACGCCAATTTCCTCGAACTCCAACTTCTGGTTTCGCGGTTTTCGCCCCTTTGTGTCTGTCTCCAGGAGCCGATGCTTGGTGCTCGTCCTGGTCGTTTTCGTGGCTATTCCTTTCTCTCCCCCCCCCCCAGCCATTGCTGGGGCTTCTAATTCTTCTGCTCTCTTGATTCGGGCTGATGTTCCCTTTGTTCCTTTACTTTTTCCTTCGCCTCTCCATTGTTCTGCTGCTCGTATCTTTGTGGGGAAATGGTACACAGTTTGTTCCATTTATCTCCCCCCGAGTGTCCCGCTCTCTCTTCCTGATTTGAAACACCTCCTAGACTCCTTGCCGGAGCCTGTGCTCCTGCTGGGTGACTTCAATTGTCGTCATTCTCTTTGGGGTGACGTTCTGACGAATACCCGGGGTCGCCTCCTTGAGCCGTTTCTCCTCTCTTCTTCCCTGTCTCTTCTGAATTCTGGTGAGCCCACTCATTTGGACTCTCGAACTCGCACCCTTTCTTGTCTTGATCTTTCTCTCTGCTCTTCTTCTCTTTACTTAGATTTCACATGGCAGGTTCTTGATGACCTCCATGGAAGTGATCATTTCCCCATCCTTGTTTCCTTTTTCTCTTTTCGCCCTTCCCTCTCTTTCCCTAGGTGGCAGTTTGCTAAGGCGGACTGGACCCTGTTTTCCCTCAGTGCTACTCTCTCTGACCTCTCCCTTCTGCCCCTCTCTCGCGCTCTCCTCCTTTTTCATGACACTGTCTTCGACGCTGCCCTCCGCTCTATTCCTCGCTCTTCCTCTCGGGGTCCACGGAAGTGCGTTCCCTGGTGGAATGCGGACTGTGCTCGGGCTGTCCGCTGTAAGCGTGCAGCCTGGAAGAAGCACCGCCGTAGGCAGACGACCGATTCTTTTCTTTTCTTTCGGAAAGCGAGTGCGGTGGCCCGTAGGGCCATCCGTACGGCTAAACGTGAATGTTGGGCATCTTATGTCTCGACAATTACGTCCGAAACCCCTCTGGCCCAGATCTGGAAGCGTATCCGCAAGATAGCGGGTAAGTTCGTTCCCGATGTTTCACCGGTCCTTCACCTCCATGATACTCTTGTGGCGGACCCGTTGCAGGTCGCTTCCGAACTGGGTTCCCACTTTTCTTCTGTTAGCTCTGGTCTTCATCTTCCCCAATCTTTCCTTCTTCGTAAACCTGTCCTTGAGTCTCGTCCTTTAGATTTCTGCACTCATCTTCAGCTTCCCTATAATGATCCCTTCTCTCTCTCT